ATATTTGATGAAAAGCATTAACGAACTAAAAGGTGCAGTTTCAATGGCCGACCAGTTTTTAGCTCGGTTTCAAATGCTAATCAACATTCTTTGCCCGCTCATAAAAAACTGAACTCACTAATTGAGCATGTCAAGAATTCTGCATGCAGACGTACATGAGGAGAATATAGCACAAGATATTTTTAAATTAGGACGGAATTATTTCAATAGAGCCATAACTAGCGAACTTCAACGTGAGCTCAATTTCAACTATTGAAACTCTTGTACAGTAGATCTCGATCATATTTCGTATACACCTTTCTTTAGTCCAGAAAGCAGTCTTATAATTGCTACTATAGATTCAACTTCATTTGCAATTTTGCAGATTCTTCTACCTACATAAAATATGATCTGCATTTGCAGATAGAATACCCCAATCGCTGTTCTCGAACATCGTACAGCTTGAGGTAAAAGGAAATAAGCCTTTCCCTTTTTCGAAAACTCTCAGTTACTGTGGCTAATCCGTTTTAATCAAATTTGTTTGTTACGTTTTTTATGAGATACCAAGTACCCGTCAGGAATCTTTCATGAAAAAAACCATCGTCTGAAAAGAAAAAGGAATTGTTGGCAAGCTACGGTCTTACTATTATTGAAAGACGAGTTATTTCTGAGCCACGATGAAATTTCGGTCATTTGTAAACTCATCATGGTCACTAAAGAATGAAGTCATTGTACTGTGTGTCTTTGATGTCATCATGGTCGTTTTCTACTTGTCGTCAAGAGAAATGATTAGACGCACAAACTTTATCACTCAACATATTGATGACAAAACTTCTCCTATGGGAGCCTCAGATTCTTGGATAATATTTTGGTGCAAAAAAGTTCCTTTCTGGAGCGCCTGTACTCAATCATTAGCTTGAGGCATGGAGACACTAAAATATGAGTTGTCCGTATATAGATGTCTTTTTAAAGATCATTCACCGAATTTTTTACAGACTTAGATAGTACATTTTTGTTCATCACTAGGTAATACACCGCACGAGTATTTACCTTGCGCTGAGAAGAATCACAAGAAATTGTTGTCATTGGTAATGTCAGATACAATCAGACATATTGGTTTCTCCTATGAATCGTTTCCACTATTGCTTTATTCAGTTTTTTTTCACTTCAAATCGGGATACTTCGAAAAGACTGTGGTATGTTGGAGATTGTTCTAGTAGGTTAAGTTCGACACTTGAATACGGCCGTAGTCATTGCTCGCCATCTAAATGAAATCTACAGCAAAAGTGGCATCGACCGACTACCACCGCGCTGCACGTGTGACCATCCGTGAAAGTAATCTGCTGCGATCGCACAGGCAGAACTTTCTCCAGCCGATCATTACTTGAGATCAGTCCTAGGTCTTATACGAGAACAAAACGCGCCACGCCTACTGGCCGCCCCGCAACAAGAACCCGTCAACTCAACCACAGCCTAAGCTTCATGCTCGGAAGATTATGCCTCTCTGTTTTCTGAGAAGATAGGGCATGCTGTTTCGGCAATTGCTTGACAACATGCAGACAATCAATGTCTACGTCTGCGTAAGGGAACTAAATCCGGACGTTAGGTGTAGAAGTGCGGAATGATTCAGTGCCGCTTTTCTTCAAAATAACACTTGACCTCACATTGAAAATCGACTCGCCACACTGTGGAGAAACTGGGCTGGATCATGCCACCACATCCAGCGTATGGCTCTAATATTTCTTCATCGGATCATCATCACGTCGGCGCTCTGAAGCAGCATCTGAGGGAAAAAATTCCAAAATTGTCGACATTCAAACCATCATGTTACTAATAAAATCCTAAAGTAAAGGAACGTGTCTTTCTCAAAAAGTTGAAAATGGGTGCGGATAGAGAAAAGTATCCATTTAAGTAAAAAAAAGTCTCGAAATGCGGAAGAACTTAGGGATGACTCAATACATCGCATGGCAATACAGAAGTAGCTCATTCAGAATGCTGGTGGTCGTGAAGAAATTACGTCGTATTCGTTAAAAGCCATGTATATAAACGAGAGTTGATAGCAGCTACTTATCTCAGAAGAGACTGGGCAAAATCCGTCGTGATTATTATTAGACTGGACAAGAATCAGGGTTTTACTTTGGTGTATGTTATGATTTTTATAGAAATATGCAGCGATCTGTTATCATCCATTTGAAATCAACTAAACGGCAAGAGAAAAAATGGAAAATATTGCGGAGTTCCATTCATTTATCAAAAAACAGCACCAATAGAAAATATCTTAAGAACTTATTATAAACCTAAGAATATTCAGTGGTATGCAAAATATTTGACCTCAACCGAAAGTTGGATCTGCGTTGCACGCATACTGAAGGACCGTTATATCCTATGAAATGCCGTTTTCAGACTTACACGAATTTGGTATGTCTTGTTCAGACTCGATAGCTGACGTTTCACCGGCTTCATTTATCTGAAAGCCTGGGCGCACTATGCTATTTATTAACCAGCAGTTTCTTTATCTAACGGAAGTTTATACTTACCGTTTATATTCTTATATGGGAAAAGTAAACAATGTATTACTCCACTATATCAAATAGAAGCTTACTCAATGCTTTGGCTTTGCATCTTGCACTCACCAAGCTTTCCGTCGTCCCTTCGAAATAAGCAAATGAGTATCGAACTTGTTTGGAAGAATAACAACAATAAACCGGTAAGAGAACGTGAATCGTCAGATATGCTTCAATCACCGCTGAAAATCCTCAATAAAGTCGAACAATTTGCCCCAAGGATTGATCAACGTCAAGTACTTCATTGAGCATAGAGAACACCTTTCGGATGGACACAGCACATGTGGCGTGATTGAAATCTAGGTTTGGTGATTTTTCTAACGAACTAATGGAAATAATTATTAGATGTTTGGGTTGTTTACAATCTGATCTTTTCATACTCTGAGAAGGCAAGACCGTTAAAACGTAAAATGTCTGAATAGACTATATTATAGAAACCTCGCGTTTGACTCAATAATTCAAAAGTTAGTGAGCGCAGTGAGCGGGGCCAAATCTAACAATGATGATTTTTCTGCGGGGATTTCTGATTATTGGTCAAGGAGCTGCATGTACACTCACTAGTATGCAACAAAGTGTTTTTCGGAAGTGTTTGATCGTGTGATTAAGTTTGGTGGAGAGAGTTTTCTGCTGCGAATGAAGCATTTACGATAAATGCAATGTAAGCTGTTTTAGCGCAGTGTCTAATAGTGTCATTGAAAAACTCATATCACACATGACACTTGATTGATCCGTCCACACAGTTTTATTACTGTGCGGATCCCAGTATTCCTAGCAATCAATTCGTTTTTCGTCTTCTTCTTGAACGCCGTAGATTAGTGGTTGAGCAAGTATATTTGCAATCCCGCGGACACATCCTGGCAGTGGCGCACCATAGGACGTTGTTGTTGACTGCCGGAGAGAGATGGGGTGAAGCTCGACTCCACACGTGTCGCGACAAGCTTTAAAAGCACTCGGATCACGACGCCCCTACTGATGTCATGCCCAGAAGAAATCCGCGTTCGTAATTTTTAGCTATATTCTGTGCCTAATTCGTTTTTTTTAGTGTTGCGATGTGAAATAAGGCGAGAGGTGTTTACGCAAAAATACCCGCGAACCAGAAATAGATAGTGGATACATCAGCACAACTGAGATTAATACTGATATGGCTTTTCAGGCCTAGCCGTTTACGACTGACTGCTGAAAGATTGGTGTGTTGCAGGGTAGGAAGACTGATGACAAAACAGTTGTCGGTAGTACACTTGGTTAAGGACGGGCCTGCGGAAAAGATGGAATGCGGGCGCGAGTCCCTCCTGGCGTCAAAGTTTTGCACATCACTCAGCATCATTGGGTATATCTGTAACATCATGCCACCGCTAAAAAGTGCTTAGGTAGAAGAATTTTAGTCGAATGAGATACTAAGCTTTGCCCATTTCTCAACACTCTAGTAGTTATGATTCCGCGTTGATCTGTGTCTTCTAAAAAGGTGTTTTCTCTGTAATATTATGTCATATGTAATTAAATTGTATACTGCATCATTATACTACGGCTTTTCAAAATAGCATCATATTGTATGCTTCACCTTTCATTCGCAGAAATTCCGATTTTTGCTGCAGTCGTTGCAGTACAAATAGTTATTTTTCACTATACTTCAGGAAGTAGTCCTCTACGCATTCAACATGAATTCATCCATTGTATGCACACTTTTGAATAGCTTTCTTTTCAAATGTTTCTTGAGACTGCGCTCAAATTTCAACATGCCTGATAGTTATTTGATCCATGCATGTGGTCTGTTATGAACACTTATACAGTGCGATACGTGCAATAGGTCTTGCAATCTCGTCAGTTACACGGTGCCCTGTCTTTCAGTAAGTTCTTCGAGAATCTACCCCTTAGAGGAATCGACGACAAGCTTTTTACACTCAACGTATGATGAAACAATCACCGTGACCATGAAAGCTTAAAATACATTGCCAAATTTATATTGCTCTTTGGCGAGTTTATAAAAATAGTCAGTGTAAGGAGTTCGTCATCAGTTCTTCTATGTAACCGATAGATCCCCAAGAAGCTGGCTGGATAAAAAACTGTCAGATGCGCAATATGTGGGCTAGTAATGTTTCACCGCTTCGATAAGACTGTCGCAGCCAATTTTAACGTATTGGAGTTATCTTCACAAAGCGTTTTGAACTATCTTTGATGTACTTAGTAGATCAACCGCTTTGTGCCTAAGCAATATATAGTTCTGTCGTGCGGTGGCAGAATGATTCAAGTTGAATCCATAATAGACGTTCATGAGTTAGGTTTTGAAGCTTTGATTTTGAGCAAGGAGAAATTTCGTATAGTCACAAAAAATAAAATGGTTTACATAAGAATCTCGAAGTCGCAAGCTCTCGAATGTATAGAATCCGATAAAAAAGGCTAAAACATAAATTTGTTGTAAATAAATAATAGTAATAATGTGGAGTACTGTGCAAAAACATTTACGTCAACCGGGATTCAAACCCAGATCTAACTCTTTCCGGAAGTATACGCTAACCGTTGCACCACAAACGCTTATCATACGCTCCCAGATAGAGTGAAATCTGGGTTCGAATCTCGGCTGACGCAAATGTTTTTGCGGAGCACTCCACATTATTGAGTATATTGTAAGACCATACCACCGCAAAAGGCGGTCAAATAAATGAATCTCAATAAATAAAAGTAGCAAAAAATATTACAAAACTTAGTTCTCAACCTAGTAAAAAAACTTTCATGCAACTAAAAAAAATAAAATGCCTTACATATTCAGAATATCGAGATTACGAGCTTTCAAACCACATAAAACTCTATAAAAAAGACCAAAAAATAAATTTATTGTAAATAAGCAAAACCAACAAGAAAAAGACAAAAATTTAGTTAATAACTTAATACGCTGTGAGAACCATGCTCGCTTTCAACTTCAAGGCAATAAAGCTAAGATCATTTTGAGTTTTTTTTTAATGACAAAGACACTATTAAATTCTCGATTTGTGCCTACTAAATTACTTTACTCCAATTTTTCGGGCTCGAATTGTGAATTTTTGCGCACCCAGTTCATAGCACTTTCATATTTGCCGTCGAGACACACTCACACAGGGGTCATTTGACTGAGGCTTTCAAAGAGTAAGACTTGATGATGCTATTTAAAGCAGTCTCGGAATTTTCAGTTGTCACTTTGTGTTAGCCATTTAGATCTTCGATTTTAGTCCCAGTTTTTCAAAATATCATTTTTAAACTTATTTGATGCTTAAAAAATTATGCATAGGATTAAGGAGATAGAGCAACATCTCTCTATGAATTCACGCCTGTGGAAATCCCTAAGTATTCCCATGATCAGTAAATCGCTATCAACTTCCATAAAACAAGCTTCGAATGCAATATCCGAAGGTGGAGTACACCATAGGCATAAACGATTAACTTTATCACCAATAAAAACAAGCGTTCAAAACAAGAAGACAAAATATTGCTTTTCCGTTATGGAGCAGGAACGTTTGAAGGGACCTCTTTTGCTGAGCAAAGATTTTTCAACGAACTACTCGGAAAATTAGAAGAAGAAATGTGTTCTACACTCGCTGCGCATTATCGCGTTTATATTTGGCTGTACAAAACTGTTTTCGTGAAATATTACCAAATTTTAAGCAGCACAAATCTGGGCGATTTCAAAGATATACTCGTTCTTTTCAAAAAAGTTTTCTTTATTATAGCGTTGTAGCAGAGAAAAGAAAATTCTATTTCAAATGCGTTGCGCGTTATCGCTTGAGCATTCGTTATTCGTAGAAAATCTTCTCTTCGTTACGAAGAGATTCCTAGGTTTTTATATTGAAATTGTAGAATAAATAGACCTTGTTCCATAGTCTCAGTTTAGGTTTTTCGTTTTCATTTTATATCGTCAAATAAACCAGCTACTAAACCTATGTCTGAGCTTACGGAGCCTAAACCAATGCTCGAAAATACATGAACATGTTGAGAAAATTATATGGTGTTTAAGTCATGCATTTTGTTTAATTATAGTCTAATAGAATTTTGGAACTTTTCAGAGATCTGTTACGGTATATTTAGTGGTATAAGTACGAAAGGCCTTGAAAATTCTATCAAAATATATTAAATTTCAAAAAGAGAGGTCTCTAACACAGTCGATTGGAAGGTATTCTGTCTACAGTTTTTTTCCTGGAACGACGAATAGCAATAATTGCGCACCACACGTGAAGCGTGTCTTACGATCGATTGATAGGCTTATCGATTCACAACCACTCAAACACCATTGCCAGCAAGCAATGCGCGACGTGTTTGAAGCCCAATATTATATACCCTGCTACACTGCGATAGAACAATCCTTGAAGAAAACATGCAGTGTTGGAATCGCCGAATTTTACGCTATCGAATTGCTAATAATAGTAAAGAGCTTTGTCCACCCAGAAATACGTGCGTGTGAGACACGAATTTATTTTTTTGACAACCGCTGTAAGAAGACCTTTTTGAAAAACAAGTTCAATTTTGGATTTTTTGGGACTTACGTTATCGAATGGTTGCTAATGATCCAAGAGAAGAGCTCTGTTTTGGGAAATGTAGCGCGGTATAATGAGCGACGCGTGTGAAGCTTACTCATTTTCAATGTTACAGTGCTGTTAAAAAAAACCATCTTCCAAAAAACGAGAATTCATTTAAATTTTCCAAAACTTGTGCTTTTGAATGATTATCTAGAGCTCACTAGAAAGTCTTTGTTCAGCGGAAAAATTCTTCCTTAATTATTCCTGCTTGATAACGATAAAGTACCGACAAAACTTATTTCACCCAAACTGCGTAAGAAGGAATTGGTCATGCAACACTCCGACATCGTGCGTGGCTCAAAGAATAGGCCGCATAGTAAGGTTGCTCGATTTGTTTTCAACGAGACGACTACTAGGAGAAGGACTACTTGGGGCTAAAGCTTTTCTTAACCGGCTCCTCCACTTTTTAGGCACTACCAACTTGATAACACCACGGCGTATGGTGCGGTTTACGAGCAGATAGATGATACAAATCAAACCTAAACATAGAAAACCATTAGAGATTTCTGACATCAAATTTGAAGGGTTCCATAAAATTAGACTAGCCTGCACTAAATTGCCATGCAATCTGCCCAATAAGTATCAGAATTTTAGGCGATGCGAAGTACTGCATATAAACATAAATATATGCAGCCAATACATTGGTTAGGCATATAACGAAAGATTGAATGAAGACCTATACTGCATATTATAATGATGAAAAGATGTCAGAGCAGTTGTAAACCGTAGCAAGTACGTTGCCTACTGTGACCAAAAGTTACTTTTGAAATATGTTTTATTTCAAACAATTAACATCTCTAACTAGCGTTGATCTTTCGTTTCAGTCATCCACTAAAAGCTGTCTAGTTTCGCAACCGAATGGAAGAAGCGTTACCGTAAAGTGCATTAGCCTGGCCTGATATCGGTAAGACTCCTACCTGCCTTTGAAATTTTCCGAGTTTACTAACTGCTGCTCTCGACTTTAGATATAATTTGATGCACAAGTAAGTGTACAAAAGCGTGAGCGTTATGGAGACAATGACGTTATTAACTGCATGGTAGACGTTAACGTAGATGACTGACTGAAACGCTCTACTGATTCAACCTGTATAAAGAAGGTTGGCTGACAACATAAAAAGTTTTTGTGCACAAGTACTAATGTAATACGTGAAAATCTTACTACAGTCATAATTTCGGTAATACAAAACCTTGCCGCATGACAAGTGTGATTCAAAATATCACTGCTTACCTCATGCCCAAGCATAGGATTGAAAAACCATGACACATAGTTGGAGTTGAATGACGCAGGTGTAGTGAGAAACATAATAAACAATAAATAGAGGATTGTGATGGATATTAGATATTTCGCACAATCTCCTTCAAAAATCATCTTTAAAAAGCGATTTTTCGAAAGATCGGCGCATCTGCTGAGAGCCAGGAGTACGCATGCCATACAGCTAGCACACCAGCAACCTGAAGAGCTTTTAAAATCTCCGCGCTGTCTCATATTAGTTGTAATGTGCAAGCTCTGTTTTGATTATTCCAAATGGTCAAACCTGCAGAATAATGAAGTCCTGATTTTGTAAAGTCACAATCTATTCCACTGTAAAGATCAGTCCTGCCAGAAAGTTGAGTACCTCTTTTTCAACAACATGATGCACTTTTTTCTCAAATCCCGAAGGAGAACAGTTCGCACAAACGATACTTTCTTGCTGTCTGATGGGGTTTTGAAGGAACCACTTTTGCTGCACAAACATACCAATAGACTGTTGGTAATCACAATTACTAAATTTTAGAGATTTTAGATATACTTGTTTTTCAGAAAGGTCTTTTCACAGTGCTGTAACAGGAAAAATGAATTGTGTTCTGCAAGCTTACAATTTTTTTGTGCAGATATAATAGACGAAACTTCCTTTCTATAGTCTTCTGGGCTTAAACTTTTATTTTCTTCTAATTTCGCCAAAAAACCATCTAGTAATCCTTAGCCTAAGTCTCTGCACGAAAAGCATATGAACGTGTGGAGGAAATCTTCCAGTATCAGAGTCTTATGTTCTTTCTCGAGCTTTTTTTTTCAAAGCGGAGAAAAACTTGAATTCGATAACAAATCGCATTCTGCATGTGTTGCGCTTGCGCAGTCGATCGGTTGCGTATCGATCCGCAGCCATTCACATACCTTTAGCCGACAAGCAATGCACAGCTTGTTCAATCTCAATCTTACTTTCCCGGCTACTGTGTGGTTTGACGGTCCTTTCAGAAAACAAGCACACTGCTGAACCAGAACTCAGGCTATCGAATAGTTAGCAGTTTTTTGAAAGGAAGAGCTCTATCCTGTGAGAAATACGCGTATGTGAACACAGATCAATCTTCCTTGCTACAGCGCTGAACAAAATCTTCTGAAAAAGAACACATACTGAACTCGCTGAGGTCTACGTTATAAATAGTGGGCACTTCTTCGTTATCTGTGCATGTTTCGACCCCTCAGGAAGAACGCAATTTGCACTTTTTCTAAAGGTTATGTGCTAATTTGATAGCCTAATTTAGGACAATTTTAACGGTGTATTTTATTTTCAAAATGGCTCCTTTATTATGCTGAAACAAGAAAAATGGAATTTTGTTTCTCATTGAAAAATTTTTTGCTCAACAAAGCTATTTCTATAGACTCATTAGTCGATCGGTAGACGAAATCTCAAGGATTCAACGATGTATTTGGTTTCTGAAACGAACTCTTAGTGGGCTGTAACAGTCGAAAGAAAACTGGTTCGTTCTCGCAGTGGGCGCGCAGGGTGTGCCTTAACCGAAGGGGGTTTTTCGTTTTAAATAAAAAGCATGAATCAATAAATTAAAGGGTATTGCTTCCTCATCGGGTTATTTCAATCGAATGAGCTTTTTCTCTAAGATACTTTATTATCCTTTTATTATTGTTTGACCCAACCTGTCATGTGATCTGGTAAGGGCCCTTGTACAGCCCGACACACGTGTTTCGCCCCCACGGACTCGTCAGTCGGGCAG